TATGTCATCCAAAAAATGAATATATATATATATATATATATCTAGGCGTTTATTGTCATAAATTACTTTTTTTCAATTTTAAACCAATACAATGTACTCAATATTAATATATTAACAATTCATTATTGTTATGCCGTTTGTTGGAACAACCGATATTTTTATTCATTAATTAAAATTATTATGAAAAACAAATTTTTATCGGGTTGTGTTTTAAATATATTTGTATGCTTATATTCTACGTAGGAACAGGATTTTTAAGATGTTTGTCAGATATTGTGAAAACTCGTAGATGTCGTTGTATATTTGGCGTTACGAGGTAACCGCGTGGGCTCTTTCGATATCTTCTGGAACCAGTCGTATGGTCGTGGGTTGTTGTCGATTGTTGTAGGTCGGTCCTCTTTCTTTTGATTTTAATGTGCGATCAGTGTTCGTCGGATAAATTATGTTGTTGTGTATTAAACTGAAGATTTAAAAAAAAAAACTATTATTTAATTGTGTTTGTCGTAGTGCTTTATTTTATTTTTTTAATGTAAACTTGTTGCTTATGGTTGGCTCAAATATATCTTAATTGCCGTAAACAATTAAACTCTATTGAAATTTATGGTCCTTTGTTCTTTAGCAAGGTTACTTAGTGTTAAAAAAATTATAATTCAAATTTAAAAAATACTATAGTTAAACAAGCATTTAGTTGTGAGTTTTTAATTTAAAACATTATTTTAAGGTCAGTATTAATATTGTTGAAAATGATACTGAGCTTAGCAGTGTTGGATTAATTTTCGAGTAATCGTATTTTGTACACATGGTTCAACTGATTTTTTCAAATATCAATTGTCTTAATATAATATGAATACATTTGTTTAATACAACGATGCAGCATAGTATATAATTATTTTAAAGTTATTTGGGCCATCACGTCGCCNCACGTCGCCATCTGGTGTAGGTAATAACAATACGTTTTTGGTGTACGGTTGTATAGGCGGGAAAAGAAAATTATGTCCAAAACTGGTTCCCAAAACGTGACCCTAAAGGTTTTTTGAGTAAAAGACCCTATACATTATTTACATACGGGCGTTTTACAGTATTATATACGGTATAGTAAATATTATCCGTTGGTAAAACTCGATATTACATTATTTCAAGTTTTATGTTATGCACAAATAATTTTTCATCGCATTTTGTCAATTGTGGTACCTAATTTTATCTAAATTTTGTAACGCGTCATTACTATATGTAAATTTGTTTGTTAATGAAACTCTTCTAATTCAAGGATTTTGTTCCTTCCTCTACATACACTCACATATATTTACTTACATTATCTTCTATTAAACCATACCATAAAAAGGTATAATCTTATCTTCGAAAAAAAAACTAGTCGTTTAATTTTTTACCGTTTTGAGTACCCTTTAATTATTGATGATTATACTGCACCTTCGCCAATTTATGATGTTGTCTTAACATTGATTATTAGACGTATTAATATAATCGACTCGTGTGTATCTCGAAATGATCATCTCAAATATTTTCTGAGACTTAGATTACTTGAATTCTATGTAATTCATTATAGAATTTTTGCTCTTGCAATTCAAGTCCAGCATCTATGAGCTAGGTAACAGTAGATGACTAGACACTAATTATTATTACCACTGAGTGCTGAGAATATATTCGTGATTTCGTGTCAAACCATTTTATTCCCTAATAGGACAAGGAATGTTAACGGCTAGGAACTGCAAAACAAACGTAACATACGTTATCTTCTTCTTGACCCGTCCGTTCAACCGACGACCTTGCCCCGGCCGATAGCTAGATTAATGTTTTGAAAAGTACTTTTGTAAAAAACAGTATTATGTCTCAACAAACAGAAATGGGTTTAAGTCCAATACCTGTCTCTTTAAATCAGAATAATTTTAATTTCCGATTTGAACTTAAGTGATAGTTATCGGCTCCCAGGTTTTGTCCATTACGATTTAA